CGGCCTGCCACTGGCGGTGATGCATTTCCCGATCGATGGCAGCCCATGAATAGTGCATATCCATTTCCGTAAGCGCTGCCGCCCTCATCCTCCGGCTCCCGCCCGGCCTCGGTGACATTGCTGGAATTCAGGGGCACCAAGACGGCTGTCAGCTCCCAGGGAACGGCCTGATAATTGGAGAGTGGCGGGGCAGCGTGCCAGGGGCCCGGAGAAGGAGATTACACGTCTGGCGGGGAGGAAGCGATGTGTCCAGATGTGCGCAGTGCCCGCTACAAGTCATCTTCATTTAATGGCTGAGTGCCAAAGACCTGAGCGGTTCCGGCGTCCTGTTATCACCTTTAAGCTGAGCTGTGCGGGGCCCCTTCCTGTCATAAATCAATGAGCAGAGGTCACTGATGCTGGGGATGCCCAAACAGCGCCACTTAAAGTGCACGTCCACCCCAATTTTTTTTTATCTTAGAACCCCCGCTGCAGGGTTTATATGACTTTACAGGGTTCTGTCCGAGGGATTCCACATCACTTCCTGTCCTGGTGACAACGTTGTACTAGGTAGGAATACAAATGCTTTTCTTTAGTAGAGTCAGGGAAGGCTGGAGTCCCTGTCAGAGGTTTATTTCTTGGAGGAATGGACAGGAAGCATCGGGGGGCCCAGGGATTGTCCTTCCGCTATTACTTTGCAATGGTGCTGCCGCGGTGTTAATAATAGGTGTCTGGATTGCAGATCGGCGGTTTGTATGCAACAGGATTGCTGCGGATTCCTTCGATTGTAACGCAAATACCGGATCTGAGATTGAAGCGCCGCACCGCGATTTCATAGTCCAGATACATATTTACGCGATATTGCCAACAGTATTGGGACGCTTTACAATACCAGTAACAGGCGACCGCGGCGGAATATTTAGTAGCCGGAAAATGTCACGGGTGGACTTATTGCACAGGTGGCAACCTATCACGGTACCACGCTTGTAGTCACTGAGCTCCTGAGAGCGACCCGTTCTCTCACAAATGTCTGTAGAAGCGTCTGCATGCCGAGGTGCCTCATCCTATACATCGGGGGCCATGGAGGGGACTGGAACACCTGAATCCAATGATTTGGAGGGGGAGGGGCCAATACTTTTGGCAATATAGTGTATATCAATGTAAAATCAGTTGGAAGACCATATAAGAGAGGCAACGCGTTTCCGGGAGCCATTCCCCCCCCATCAGGGTTCAAGGATAGGATACAAGTTATATGGTAGGGAACCTCAACAGTCCAGCTGTGGTGAAACTGAGAGTTTCTGGAAGCGGCGGCGCGGTCATAAATCACGGGTGTCCCCCTCCCCCCCATCGCCACTTCCAGTATTTCCAGCGCGCGCCCGTCTCCGCGATGCGCGCCCATTACCGCCTTCAACTCGCTCAGCGGGAATGGAATTAGAGGCGGTATTAATCAGAAATATTCCCGCGGAACGTTCCGTCGCGGCCGGAACAGACGCTTCATCATATAACTTAAACTTAATGGGTTTTCTTAATCG